CTGAATTATTCTATCTTCCTTTTGACATCTTGTTTTGATATTTATTAAACATTCATGGCATGATCAAGTCAAGAGGTGATGCTTTATTCTAACCCCCTACAATCACTCTTAGCAACCCAAGCCACCTTAAGCAGTCAGCTTGCTGTGTGGGTGCAGCAGCAGGATCCGGCCCCTTCTTGCAATCAGCTTACCTTCCCTAAACTCGGGGGTCACCACTGGCTTTCAAAAGCCATGCTGGCTTTTGACAGTGGCCCAATTTGTCGACATAAAATAATACTCTACTCTTATAGGTAAAAAAAGCTCTTTGATTTGGAATTAATTTGTTATATAAACTGTGTTTGAAATCCACTTTTACATTTTGACATATAAGATGTCAACTCAGTTGATTAAAACAATGGCTTCCATTCTCTACTCTGAGGCACCCTAGAGCTCCATGAAGGTGCCTGGGGCAGTGAAAGACAGAGGTTGAAAGTATGCCTTGGGGGTTAGAGCTGCAGGGCTCTGCTGCCCAGTCCCAGATCAATGCATTTCCTACCTTAACTTTCTGTATATTGGGCTTTCATGTAAAGTTTCTTTGAAGAAGAGTTTCTACTGATAAAAATAAATGTTACTTTAAATTTAAGATGTGTATTCTCTTCAACTCAGAAATGTGCCTTTTAGAAAGTATCCTGCATATATACATGTTCAAAGATGTATATGTCAAGAATTCCTTTATCATTTCATAATAGCCATTAATGGGGAACAATCTAGTATTCTTCATAGTATACTATACTCTGAAGTTGTACCATACTATGAAAATATTATATACAGATGATAAAAATGTATGGAAACATCGTCAGGACAAGTTTTTTAAAAGCAGGTTTCAGTACAATGTGTATAGTATGGTCCAGTTAACATGAAACAAAGCTGTGTATTTGCCTATGTATTTACGCAAATTCTTAGAAAAAAAGGATTAGAAGGCTGTATATCAGCTGTTTCCAATGGTTATCTCTGTGAAGAGAATATGTAGAGTTGGTAGGCTGGTAAAGAAAGACTTTCACACTTCCATGTTTGGCCAAATATTTCTGAATTGTTTGAATGTTCTACAGTTAGATTTTATTCAAGCTAGCTTCTATACATTATTAAAGGAAATCTTTTTTATTGAGTTGAAAACCTTTGGGTTAGATCATGGTGCTAATGAGGCCATGAATATCTGCCTTTTCCTATGTAGACAAGTTAGTGTCACATACAGAAAATCGCTGTTTGTCTGATAAAAATTGCACCCACTAACCACAAACAGCTTTCACAAGCACATATGCCATTTGTCACGGGCAGATCAGGTGAGAGAGTATAACTGTTTTATTGTCCCCAGCTCCTAGCATGTGTCCTTTGGGCAGGTTTGTGGCTCTATCCTTTGTTAAGCCATACCATACAATCCATCCACTTACAGTATACAATTCATTGTTTTTCATATATTCACAGAGGTGTGAAACCATCACTACAGTCAATTTTAGAACCTTTTCATCACCCCAGAAAGAAAGCCCTTACCCATCAGCAGTCATTCCTCATTCCTCTACTCCATCCTCTGAACACCACCAATCTATTTCCTGTCTCTACAGATTTCCCTATTCTGGATGTTTCCTTTAAACGGAAACATACAGTACATGACTTAATGAGTCTGGTTTCTCTCAGTTAACCTAATGTTTTCAAAGGGCACCATGTCATGGCATGTGTCAACATGTCATTCCTTGTTACTTACTGAGTAGTATTCCATTAGAGGAATAGACCACATTTTGTTTATCCTTTCAGCAGTTGATGGACATTTGTGCTGTTTCCATTTCTGACTATTGTGAATAATTCTGCTACTCACATTCATGAATACATTTTTTTGTGGACCTATGTTGTCTTTTCTCTTAATATTTCTAGGAATGGAATTGCTGGGTCATATGGTAATTCTACCTTTCACATTTTGAGGAACTGCTACACTGTTTTCCAAAGAGGCTGTGTCATTTTACATTTCCACCAGCAGTGTGTGTGTGCCAATTTCTCCATATTCTTGCCCAAACTAGTTTTATCTGTCTTTTTGATCACAGTCATCCTAGTGGGGGTGAAGTAGTTTCCATATGTTCTTGTGTCTTTGAGAATGACTGCTTATATTAATTAGGCTTTTGCTACAACAACATAGTGTAATAAAAACAACCTCAACTTCAGTGGCTTCAACCACAAGCGTCTATTTCTCCCTCACTGCATGCTGACTGTGGCTCTCCTAGGCTTGCCTGGGTATTAGTTCTGATCCAATTCATGAGACTTTATCCTAAGACAGAGAATGCTGATCTCAAAGGGGACTTGAGAATCTCAAGCACCAAGGAGAGATATTCTGCAGCCTAAAAATGGCACATGTTATTTCTTCTCTCAAACCATAGTCTAAAAATTTCATGTTGCCCACTCCAGCTTCAGCAGAGCTGGGAAGTAAACTTGGCTTGCAGTGGCAAAAGACATGAGTATATCATTTAATTAAGTATGGAAATAAAGAGTTGGGAACAGTCCAATTTACCTGACCACTCAATTCTCTTATCTCCAGTTCTATCCTCTTTCCTGTTTGCTTACATAGCTTAGTCATTACACCTTATATGTTGCTGTCATTCAAAATTTTGTATGTCTCAAATCTAAGAAACCCTCTTCATTCTCCACATAACACCTCCTGCCAATGTTTCTGTCTGGGGAACAAAACCCAATTTGCAATTATTCGAAGCTCAAATGGTTAAGAATTAGAACAGCCTTCTTTCATCAATCTGTCTTCTCTTTTATGTCAAATACTGCTAGCTTCTACCCAGTATTACTTTTCCACTTCTTTCTTAAAAAACAACCTGATTTTATTCAGAGTGGTGATGTGCTTTTTCCCAGCCACCCTCATTTACAGCAGAGGTTGACTGTGTGACAATCTGATGTGGATTTCTGGTAACGTCTGATTTCTTTGTCATTTTCTTCTTGCTGTTGTCTGGGACATGGATATGAGACTACAGGTGGAGTGGCTACATCTCAGCCATTTGATGGTACAGATGAGAGCCACAGGCTAAGAATTGGGGTGCAGAATGGAAGAAGGAACATGGAGCACTGATAATATTATCACACCTGGCCTGCCCACTTCTGGAATTTTTTTACCTCACTCTCTTGTTGATAAAGTGTCAGTGTCTCTACATTAACTATCACATAATTTAGAAGTCTTAAAAAAGTTTATGGTATAGTAATTCAGATGTTCCAAAATCTCCTCTAAACTTTGAATCTTTCATCCCATGGTTATTTGCTGTTCTTTCAACCACCCACTCACCCAAGATCTAGTCTTTGTCCTTTTCTGCCCTGTTCTGTGCCCTACCCAGAGGTTGATGCCAGCAACCTAAGTCACCCAGGACCCAGGCCCCCTTGTTTGGTGGCTTCTGGCTGGGTTACAAGGGATACACTGGCATAAGAAAGCACAGCAGAAGGAGAAGTCGGGCCTCTCTTCCCACCTATTCCCAGCTTTGGTGCCTCTTCTCTGGCAGTGGTCACGTGCTTCCCTGACCTCTGCTCCTATCAGGCAGCCCCTCCTCTGGGGCTCCAGCTGTCACTAGCGTCTTTAACACTACTTCTGTGGCTTATCCCTTCAGCCCTAGGGTGGTAATGGCTCACCAATATTGCTAATGTCTGGGTGCCTCAACATTTCTTGTTTCTTCCTATAACTGCCCAATTTCTAATATGGTCCTTCACAAGAACCATCTGCGGTGAATTGTTTCCAGCTGGCATCTGACTAAACGTCTCTTGGTATATGTGTTTCAGGTTTGCATTTCAGCAACTTTTCTCATAATCCTCCCTTTGTTTGAAATTCCTTTCTTCCCATCTCTGTGTCTAGCTATCTTTCAAGGCTGTCCAACACCACTGTTCACAAGAAGCTTCACTTGCTCCCCACAGCATGGAAATTTCTTCTTTCCTTGAACTCAGTACACATCGACAGTCATTCTCTTTTCCTGCTTTAAATTATTATGTACATGGTACTTTGGCCAGTTTGTAAATTCTTTGAAGTCTGAACTCACACCCAGGTCTGATTTGTTTTTGTTTTTCTCTCTTTCCTTTAGGTTCTTCCTGAACTTTGCCTCCCTCCCCAAAAGCAACTGAAACAAAGATTGGCACCAAACAGGTGTTCTATCATTCATTCATTCTTACTACATTTATTACTACTTATTACTGCTTCTTATTACTATTATAATAGGTACCAATTACAAATTTATTACAATGTACTCTTTACAAAAATTATGAAAATGATGACACAAACTAAAATTTCCCATTGGTCATAATGTGGCTGTTACATTTAAAATATACAATAATTACACAGCTATGATACATATATGATTGGGGTCTTTATTTTTATCTCAGTTTTCAGGGGATAAATCTGGTCTTCTCCCATTATTTTTCCTGGGTATCAAAGGAAGAAATCATGTGTGTGTAAACATTCATCTTAACTGAGGCTATTTAACATTATGAGTTGGAATTGGAGTTACAGGGTTGCTATGGTATGTTTTCTGACATATTTATATAACAATAACAATATTATACACAGCAGTAATGGTAGTATAATTCCATTCGGGTTCCCAGACTTGATTCCAATGTGTGTTAAGTATGTGGGAGTTGGGTCTTCCCACACGTAACACCAAGCAATTCTGGAACACCAGCTGGGTGCTGGAGAACTCAGTTCTGATGCTATCTGCCTGGAGAGAGCACCAGATTTCCCAGGTTCAGGGCTCCGTTCTACAAGATTGCCCTCCACCCCCAACTCCAGGTGCTGGTCGCAAGCTCCAGGCAGTTCCCTATGTTTCTGACCTACCAGCTATAGATCAGAGGTTCCAACAACCTCTTCTTAGGTTTGATTAATTTGCTAGAGTGGCTCACAGAACTCAGGAAAACACTTTTACCAGTTTAATAAAGGATACCACAAGGATATATGTTAACAGCCAGATGAAGAGATACACAGGGAGGGGTCCCAAATAAAGGAGCTTCTATCCTCGTGGAGCTTGGGGCCTGGCTCGGTGGCACGTGTAGGTGTTCTGGCTCCCCAAGCATAGATGCTCTTCCTGACTGAGAAGCAGGATCTGATGAAGCAGAGAGATGAATTCTTCTCAGGGTTTTTTGTGAGGGCGTCACTGCAGTCATGATTGACTAAATTATTGCCCATTGGCTGATTCAGCCTCCAGCCCCTGCCCTTGGGTGGGGGTCCAAAAGTTTCTCATTAACATGACAGAACACCCATTTCACCAGTGTTTTCAGAAACTGTGGATGAAGACCAAATATATCCGGGAAATATATATTTGGTCATCTGAATGACCAAATATGTATTTCTTATGACTCATTATATTGCAAGAGTTGTTTTCTAATTAGTCTTTTTAAGCTCTGTTTTGGGAGTTCTAGAGAGTCTTCCCAGGAACAGAGATAGACTGAGACGTCTTCAATAGGCTTTCACTTTAAAAAAAGTGCTCTGGTCTTCAAGAAGAGTGAAACAATTTCTCCAATTCACCCCTCACTGCAAACATTCCCTACAATATCCCTCTGTTTAATTGCTAAGTCTCTGCCTAAATATTTCCACTATCTGGGAATTCCCTTACTGTACAATAATATTATACAATATGTTTTTAAACAATCCTAAGTTCACAAAGTTTTATATTTGCTGAAACCTGACTACCCATCATTTTTCTGCCTGAAACATTAAAGAATATATCTAAATTTACTTGATATATTAAATGGCAGGACTTGAAAACAGTGATCATTCTCTCACAAGTTTCTCTTCATAACAACCCCACTTCCTTTAGACGGTCTTCCTATGTCATGTTTGGAAAACCCACTTTGGTCACATGTTATTTGTCAAAATTCTTAAAACACAATGCCTAGAAGTAAAAATAATTTTCCTGATTCTATATTACACATTAACAATGAGAAAATACATAGTCATATTATTACTGTCTCCATTCTGAGTATTTAAAAGCCAGTTACAGTGACTTGCAGTTTTTGGTCTGGCATGTAAGGAACTTAAACAATTTGCCAATCAGTCTGTCCTAACAGTAAAAAGCTGAACAACCTAAAAAAATAGTTCTTCTGAGATACATAAAAGAAGTGAGATTGCAGTGCAAATAAGCATCTCAAAAATTGAAGAGACCTGTGAACACAGAGAATCACAGCTTCGCAGAGCAGAAACCATGCAAAAGCAGTACCAGAGTAAGGAAAACTGAACTGTAATTGATGAATTGGTAATGCAGTAAGATAAGAAAAGGAAGTAAAAAGCATATAGAGGCGGAGCCAAAATGACTGCGTGAGTAGAGCAGCAGAAATCTCCTCCCAAAACCACATATATCTATGAAAATACAACAAAGACAACTCTTCCTAAAATAGAGACCAGAGGACATAGGACAACATCCAGACCACATCCACACCTGCAAGAACCCAAAGCCTGGCAAAGGGGGGTAAGATACAAGCCCCGGCCCAGCGGGACCCGAGCACCCCTTCCCCCAGCTACCGGTGGTAGAAGAGGAGTCAGCAGGGAGGGAGAGGGAGCCCAGGACTGCTGAACACCCAGCCCCAGCCATCCAGACCAGAGAGCAGACACACTGCATGCACGGGGTCCTGGATACTAGGGAAACAGGGTGGCAGGACCCGTGAGAGAGTGCCTGAGGCCGACGCTGGAGAACAAAGAAACGGGAGCGGCCATTTTATTTTTTTTTCCTCTTTTTTTTCTTTTTTTCTTTTTGGAAGTCTTAAAGGGACAGGGAACCCAATAGTAGGGAAACAAAGCAGCAAGACCGGTGAGCGTGTGCCTGAGACCAGCACCTGAGGACAAACAAACTCATGCATTTTTCTTTTCTTTTTCTTTTTTTTAAAATTATTAATTTAATTTTTTTGTTGCTGTTGTTGTTTTGGTTTGGAGAGTGCTTTTTGGAAGTCTTAAAGGGGGAGGACGGGACACTTAGTCCAGAGGCAGGGAATCTGGGGATCTCTGGGCACTCTAACCACCTAGGCAGCAGGGAGCACGGAGGCCCCTTACGGAAATAAATAGGCTCCCGGCAGCTCCCCCTCCAATAGGGCTCCACAATTTTGGAGCAGCAACCCGAGCCAGATCACGCCCACAGCAACAGCGGAGATGAACTCCATAGCAGCTGAGCAGGAAGCAGAAGCCCTGTCTGCGCACAGCTGCCCAGAACAAGCCACCAGAGGTTGCTCTTCTCCCAGGAGAGGAAGGCCACAAATCAACAAGAAGGAAAGCTCTTCCAGCCGTCACTCGTACCAGGTCTGCAAACTATCTCTATCACCATGAAAAGGCAAAACTACAGGCAGACAAAGATCACAGAGACAACACCTGAGAAGGAAACAGACCTAACCAGTCTTCCTGACAAAGAATTCAAAATAAAAATCATGAACATGCTGACGGAGATGCAGAGAAAAATGCAAGAGCAATGGGATGAAGTCCAGAGGGAGATCACAGATGTCAGGAAGGAGATCACAGAAGTGAAACAAACCCTGGAAGGATTTATAAGCAGAATGGATAAGATGCAAGAGGC